GATGTCCCTGCTCATGGCAGGGGGGTTGGAACCAGATGATCTTCAAGGTCCCTTTCAACCCAAACCATTCTAGGATTCTATGCTTCTCCCCGTGATGGTACTTTCCTTCTTGAATCCTTGAGTTACCAAAGATCCTGTCTCAACAGTGCTGCCTCCATCTTTTTTACCTTCCTTGTCTCTCTGCAGCTCAGAGCTCTTTCACAGCAGCCTGAGGCAAGGTCACTCAGCACGGCCATGTTGTAGCTGCACCTCGGATCCTGGTGCACTGGTAAATAAACCCTGAGGAACGCGGGGACCCTTACAGCGGGGCTCGCACAGAGAGGGAGTTACACCCCCTGTTTCCTGGTGTCACGAGTGCTGCGGTTGTGCTTGGGGCAGGTGGGGCAGGACAGTTCTGCCCACTCAAATGGAGCCTGGGAATGTTTGGATCACTCCGCAGAAGCACCGCGGAGGCTCAGAGGGAATATGTGGGCAGGAGGGCCGCGCTGCCCAGCGCAGTCGCTGTGTCCGTGCATGACCTTTGGGCACCGACGCTCTGTTCTGAATCGGGATCTGGGTAAGTGTGTGTAGAATAACAGAATCGGAGAATCACTGAGGTTGGAAAAGACCCTGAAGATCATCGAGTCCACCCATAAACCTCACCCGGCCAAGTCCACCACTAAACCATGTCCCCGACACCACGTCTGCACGTCGCTTAAATACCCGCAGGGATGGAGACTCCACCACTGCCCTGGGCAGCATGGTGTGGTGCTTGACAGCCCTTTCAGTGGAGGAATTTTTCCCAATATATCCTGAACCTCCCCTGACGCACCTTGAGGCCATTGCCTTGTTACCTGGGAGAAGAGACCAACCACCCCCCCACCCCCCCACCCTCCTGTCAGGTAGTTGTAGAGAGCGAGAAGGTCTCCCCTCAGCCTCCTCTTCTCCAGGCTGAACACCCCCAGCTCCCTCAGCTGCTCTCTAGATGAACACGGAACTCTTTGCCTCCTCCTCCACCAGGTTTTCTGGTTCTTTTTCAGTAACGTCGACGTGGGTTGCAGAGATCTGTCAGTGTGGGAATGATTTTGCAGCATCCGCTGGTGACGACACAGGCAGTGGAAAGCATCCATTCGCCCTCCCATTCCCTCCGCTCCGGAAACTGGGCCATGTTCTCCGCTGACGGCTTATCATCAGCTCTGTCTGCACCGTAACCCCGCTGCACGGCTCCTCTTTATCCCTGTCACAGCAGAACCACGACCAGGTGCCAGCGGCAGGGGACTGGAGCATCCCCAGAGTGCCGAGCTCCAGCCCCGGCTCCACGGGGGATGGTGTTTAATGGCTGCACCCTCTTTTTTCCACCTCGGCCCCTTCTGTGGTTCCCCCGGTAGCTCGATTGCCACCAGCTCTGCCCCCAGGGCGCAGCCACTAGATGGACCTCAGGATTCAGTGTTTTCACATGGCAAATGAGAGCGTTTTCGCGTGCCCAGCCTTGCCAGAGGTGCAGCCACTTCACGAATCGCCTTTCTATTTCGCTCTGTGGACACCCAACCCGGCAACTTTGAAGGTGAAACTTGTTCTGGTAAAAGCCTTTCCAGTGCGGGGAGGCAGGGAAGTGGGCAGCCCTGCTCGTCTGTGGAGGAGGAGGACAGCGCTGATGTGTTGGCTGCCGGCATGGAGCAGCGGCGAGAAGCCTCCAAGTTAAATGTAGCTCGTAGGGAGGAGGTGATATTTTCTGTGCTTGCCCATTTCTGTGATCGTTGTGCGGCTTCTGCTGTTGGAGAGCAGAACCGGCTCCTCGGCGACAGCTGGTACGAGGCTGTTTGCTCAGCGCAGCTGATTCGCGGTGCAGAGAAATCTCTTCCCACACGCCTTCTCGCTAATGCGCCCCGCCGCCCGTCACAGACAGCGGTTAAACTCCAGCCGTGGTGTCTGGAGAAGAAAAATCGTCACCATCAGAAGCGGCAAAATTCAAACTCTGGGAGAAAGTGCACAGGTGCCTTCGGTAAATTGTTTTAAATTCTGGTACTCTAATTCTGGGGCGGGGGGAAAGGTTGTAATAGCTGCTTTTAGGGTGTGGGTTATGAGTTCCATCAGGCTTGGCCAATGTTTCTTTCCAAATGAGAACCGAAAGTCAACAGAGATGGGAATTTTGATTGCATTTCCGTAAGGGCAGTTGGACAAACTCCTGGTGTTCAGGTTTGTCTGTACCGGTAGAACCCACCGGGTCATTACAGGACCATTAACTTCTCATGGTTATCTGCACCCTACGAACAGCCGGGTCAGAGGAACGACAAAGCAGTTCTCTGTCCTGCCTGAATGTCTGTAGAAGGAAATGCCTTTATTTTAACTCTGATGAAGTTCGTAAAGCCATTTTCCTCTAAACTTGTCACATGAGTCTTTTCACATATGTTTTGATCATTTAAGCCATTTTTAATTTTCCCCTCTACACTGCCCTAGTGAGGCCTCATCTGGAGTACTCTGTCCAGTTCTGGGCTCCCCAGTTCAAGAAAGATGAGGAGCTGCTGGAGAGAGCCCAGCGCAGGGCTACAAGGATGAGGAGGGGACTGGAGCATTTCTCCTAGGAGGAGAGGCTGAGGGAGCTGGGCTTGTTCAGCCTGGAGAAGAGAAGGCTGAGAGGGGACCTAATATATACTTACAAATATCTCAAGGGTGGGTGTCAGGAGGACGGGGCCAGACTCTTTGCAGTGGTGCCCAGCGACAGGACAAGGGGCAACGGGCACAAACTGAAGCAGAGGAAGCTCCAGCTGAACCCGAGGAAGAACTTCTTCCCTCTGAGGGTGACGGAGCCCTGGCCCAGGCTGCCCAGAGGGGCTGGGGAGTCTCCTTCTCTGGAGATATTCAAGCCCCGCCTGGACAAGGTCATCTACAGCCTGCTGTGGGTGACCCTGCAGAGGTCCTTTCCAACCCCTACCGTTCTGTGATTCTGTGATTCTTTGCTTATTATGAAGGAAGGAAATTAGAATAGAATAGAATAGAACAGAACAGAACAGTTCTGTTGGAAGGGCCCTCAGGACCATCCAGGCCAACTTCCTGACCCCTTCAGGGCCGACTGTATCTTGCAGCATTTAGAAACCCACTCATCCCATTTTTTTGGTTTCAGTTATGGTTTGTTCTGCCTGTTAGCCTTACGATGGCCTTTCCCAGTTATGACAACGGCTGTAGCCGGTTCCTTTTACGGCTGTTTTCCACCGCGATGCTGAGCGCCCGCAGGCTCAGGCGGAGGGCGATCGGTCCCCGTTCCCCAGGTAGCAGAGGAGTTTCAGCCCTGCGGACTCAGCAGGGACGGCACCGTGCGAGCTGTCCTGGGCCACGGGCAGGGGAAGGGCATCCTCCCTCTCGGAGGACCTGGGCGTGCGGGGCAGGATGGGCTGGGGGTGAGGAAGGGGAGCTGCCCTTGCCGCGAAAGCTGAGGTTATCCATGCTTCCCTTCGCCTGCCCTGAGCTTCGTTATCCGCAATACCCTCAGCTCACTGTATCCACAGGAAAAGCCTGTTTGCAGGACCTCTCGTAGAGGGCTCACGCCCTGGGCTGGTTTCCACCGGGCTGGGCTTTCCCTGACTCAGGAGGCATCTCCAGCACCGGTGTCAAGAACAGCCAGTGCTGCTCCCGGAGCCACCGTGGGCACCAGACCGATTGCTTGCCCGCTCTGCAGCAGATCCCTGTGGAAGGACCCCACCCCATCCCCCTTCGCGCTGGTGCTTTGCTGATTCTCTTGGCTCTGCAGAGCATTTTGCTGACCCTCAAGGCATCGGTGACTCTGGCGAGGTCGCTGTAGTGAGACTGCATTGCTCAGGAAACCCGGATGAGCAGGCCTGGGGCTGGGAGGAGATCGCTGTCCTCTCCCATGCCCTGGGACCAGAACTGCAGAGAGGAGCTGAAAGCCGCGAGACGCCAAGGAGAGACCCCACTGCCGTGAGCATTGGTGGAAAAGCCCTGCCAGAGCGCCCAGGCTGTCTGCACGGGTCTGCCCTCCTCTCATCTTTTTCACTGGCCTGGCGAGGAAAACAAAATGTCCCCTGCCCGTCTGACCCCAGCTGCAGCTCCTTGGTGGACACCGGCGGCAGGGGAAGGGTGACAGGTCCCAAGACCATCCCCTGGGGCAGGCACCGCGTTGGCCTGAGGAACAGCGCAGCTCCCACAGCCGCCCTCACACACATGGCCTGCTGGAGAAGGGCTTTCGCCATCCCCCCTCTTCCTTCCCAGCCAGCCCTCCCCCCGGCTCCCCCGCGCACGCAGGCGAGTGTTCAGTGGCTGCTCCGAGAGCGGTGGCAGCAGCGGCCACACAGAGAGCAGTAAACTGGGGTGCCCTGGGCTGCGCATGGCTCTGTGGTAGGACGGTGCCAGGCCGGGCGTGGCAGGTTTGAAATTTTTTATAATCTCAGGAGTACGTAGTGATGACATGAGGACTTCTTGGGCTGGAGAGCCACGTGTCCACGGAGCAGAGCACTCCGTGCGCCAGACAGGCGTGGACATGTTGAAACGGGTCCAGTGAAGGCGACTGGGGCATCAAAGCGTCTGACAGACTGGGAAGAGCTGGAAAAGCTGGGACTGCAGCTGGGAGAAGAGGGGGCTGAGGAGACTGGAACATCTCTCCTAGGAGGAGAGGCTGAGGGAGCTGGGCTTGTTCAGCCTGGAGAAGAGAAGGCTGTGAGGAGACCTAATATATACTTACAAATATCTCAAGGGTGGGGGTCAGGAGGATGGGGCCAAG